AAAAGTCCATGTGTGCTTCCCAGTGAATAATGTTCTTCACATTTGATGCTCACATAGAGTGATCTGGATGGAAACTGCATTGACCTAGGGCTCTTCTGATCACCCAGGAGCAAGAATAGGATAAAATCTGGGGAGGAGATTTCAGAACCAACTAGGGAGGAGCAGGTGAAGCCTGATCCGCTGGGCTGATGGTAATTCTGCAGGGGGAATCCCTTACTTCTCTGTGTCCCTGAGGCTGAGCCTTCTCTGAAAACACAAAGCTCCTCAGCAGTAGCCTTTGAGCCCAATTTGGATAACCTGCAGGTGCCTCCAGTAAGTGGATAAGAGAGGCCTGGGAAGGCAGGTGCCCAGCCTAGGGCCTTGGAGCTAATCAGGGCACCTCCACCATGGCCTGGACCCCTCTCCTCCTCGGATTCCTGGCTCACTGTGCAGGTGCAGAGCCCAGGCTCACACCACCCAGATCCCCAGAACTATAACAAGCCTGGTCCTGACACTGAGCTCAGCAGCCACTGCCTGTGGAGGGCAGGATGCTCATGGCCCTGCTGGAGGATAAGGGACTGGAGAGTGAAATCCCCCCACTGGGCTCACTGGCTCCATCCACTAGCCAGGTCCAAAGGACCCCAGGGACTGAGACTGATGGGAGGGGGAGCCCTGTGCTAAGAGCAGTCCTAAACCCCAATCCAGATCAGGCAGGTGGGGGCTTCCTAAGATGAGACCTCAGTTTGAAAGCCCACCTCTCATTTTCTCTCTTGCAGGCTTTGTGGCCTCCTATGTGGTGACCCAGCCACCCTCAGTGTCAGTGAACCTGGGACAGCCAGCCAGCCTCACCTGTGGGGGAGACAACATTGCAAGAACATATGTTTCCTGGCAGCAGCAGAAGTTGGGTCAAGCCCCTGTGACAATTATCTATCGTAATAGCAACCGGTCCTCAGGGATTCCTGAGCGATTCTCTGGCTCCAACTTGGGGAACACAGCCACCCTGACCATCAGCGGGGCCCGGGCCGAGGATGAGGCTGACTATTACTGCCAGGTGTGGGACAGCAGTGTTAAGGCTCACAGTGACACAGGGCTACATTTTTACCCAACTGACCTGGATTTGAGCCCAGAAATTCCCAGTTCAGCTGAGCTCCTGAAACCCAGGTCCCCAGCAGCTGGGATTCTGAGTGGAGCAGACAAGTGCAGTAGACACTGTGGGTCACCTCCATCCCATTTTCTGACATCACTCACCCACTCACCCTTGCAGGGCCCCTGACAGCTCACAGGGCTGCTCCTGACAGCCAAGTGCTGTGGTTCTCAAATCCATCTCTCCAGGTTCCGCTCCTAGAGACATTCACTTGAAATATGGCCTGAGTCCAAGATCCCAAGGCCCTGCTTCAGGGACAGAAGTCCAGGAAGGTCCCAGCTTTAGAGCTCCCTGCAGGAAGGAGGCTTCATATGATGGCTCAGTGTGGTATCTCTCCTTCTGTCCAGACTGACCTCTCCAAGTCCTTCCAGATTTCCTACACATGCTCTTCTCCATCTCAGAGTTTGCCTCCAGGAACCCAATGCAGGAATGCTGTCATCCCTGACAGGATCATCATGGACCTGCGGAGACTATGTGTACCCACAAAATGGGTTTCTCGCCCAGATCACCAGTGTGTTTGTCCAGTCCCTAGACAGATCCGATAGTTCCTTGTAATTTTATACAATGAAAAAAGATCCACACAGACTAGGTGCTCTGGGTTTTGAAAGGTAGTTGGAGAGTCACATCCATGTTGATGGTGAATGGAAGACATTGGGGCAGTCACCACTGCCTGCAAAGTGACCAAAAGAAACACAACCACAAGAGTGAAACACAACATGGGTGCTGTTCCACTTCTATCCCAAAACCTCGTGCAAGATTCTCTCTTACAGCCACCCTACCAAGATATATGAACAGACAACAATTCTATGAAATACAGCACAGCCTGTCAATTTTGACACCTAATAGGATACCACAGTCAACCCTTGCCCACGTGAAATCCACCCAGATCCCCACACACCACAGTCTCTGAGTAAAGAGAATGTTGGCAGCCGTGTTCCCACCTACCATGGTAAAACTAACCTGTGAACAATACCAAACATGTTCATACTTGCCCTACAAGAAGATACAAAATACATTTTATCTGATTTCCCATGGCTTCAATACTGAGATATAAAGTTAACTACTGTTAACACATCTGATGGTAGATGATAAAGGAATAAGACAGGAAAACAAAACAGAAACATATGAGATCTATCTATCTATCTATCTATCTACCTATCTCCAGACATCATACTCAGGTCAACATAAGGAAGAAACATTTGTTATATTTATCCTATGCATTTCTGCCACTACGCCGTGGTCAGAATGGTGTATATAATTATCTTCTTCACTGCCCACTCCATATTCCTCTTCCCTGAGCAAGGACCTTAGATAGTAGTACCTTAGCTAGTCAAGATCCCTGCCAGTTGGGATAACCAAACTTTCATTCTGAAAAATGGGCCTATTTTCAAACCTGCTGAATTGGATTGTGGTGAGTTTATGACTGTAATCACAGTCCCAGTTCACTTAGGGGATCTCCTGAATCCATATACTTCTTCTTATCCAAACTGGGTTCTAAACACCAAATCATTCCATGATCTTCATCATGAAACACCCCAGAAGTGCCCCCTACTTTGAATCCCTGCCAGCAGGAGTCAGAAGGAGTATTGGCACACTCCCCACAATGAGTGCAGGGATCCTACTCCCTCCCTCCCACCTGCTTAAGTTCTGGCCCAGAGACCCCTGGGTCTGAATTCAGTGCACAGGGGCTATACTCCTGGACTCATCCCACTCTCCTCTGCTTTCCTGGGAAGCTGCCTTTCTGGGGACTCACCTTACCTGACATGAAATGGGGAAGCTTATACTGATATGAGAAACACCTGTTTTTCCAATTAAATGATACAAAATATTGAAGAGTTAAATTAATTAGACAGACACAGTGGGGTCTCAGTAAGTTAATCTTGGTGTTGGAGTCCCCTGTCTGCCTCCTTGGGGCACAAGGAAAAGTTTTTGGCTAGACTGTGATCTGTATCATGTGCAATTACATCTAAGTCTGAATAAGTAGATTCCCAATTTCACCAAACCACAGACAGGGTAGTTTAAAATACTCCCACACCAAAACCCAGGTGATGCGAGTTTAATAAATGTAACAGTAGTAAAGACAGCAGTGATAATAAAACAAATATTTACTCAACTGAACTTAGGGCCAGAAGCATTGCCTATTGCTCTGATGACCCAAGTACACTATTGGGGATGCAAGATAGATCCCTCTGAGCCCTAAATACACAGGATCTGATGGCTGTGGGACATCACCCAGGATTTTCTGGATATCGACCCTTTCCAAATGCACTACACTGTACCCTGATCTCTCCTTTTTGTAAGAAGACAGTGGGCTAGGCCAGGGCATTTCCACCTGGGACTAGTAGAGGAATTGCACTTGTCCTGCCTCCTGCACCACGTATATGACCTGTCTGTGCTGGGCTGGGCAGGGAAGGGGGGGCAGCTGCCTGACAGACACTGGACTCCATGGTCCTCATCATTTCTCAGGTGACAGGTGCTGTGGGGTGACCTGCAGGAGGGAAGCCCCTGGGCTGAGTCCTCCTCCACCAGCAGGGGGAAGTCCTCCTCCACCTGCATCAGGAGCAGCAGGACAGAGACTGGGGCTGCCCAGGGGGAGCCTCCCAGGGACACAAGGCCTGGGGATCAACAGGGGTCCAGGGTTCAGTCCTCAGAAGAAAGTTGGGATGATCACTCCTAACTCCAAGGCTATAGGGACCTTGTTCTGAGGGTCACACACACAGTGACATGAAGGACACTGATGGAAGTCCTGACACAGAGAATGCCTTGCATGGAAATACAGCTCTCCCCACTGTCCCCAGTGCTCCAGGGAGCTGACTCGTCCATGCTGGACACTCAAGAACGCTCTGACCACTCACCATCTGCCTCTGCATCTCATCTCTGATCCAGATCTGTAACCTCTTTGCTCAGGAGCATCTCAGGGGGCAGGAGGCAGACTACTCAGAGCCCTTCATGGTGGGAATGAGCATCCACAGCCTCCTGTGAGACTGTCTCCAGAGTCACGTGGATTCTCACTAGGTGACGCCACAGCTCTGGTCCCTGGCCTCTCCTTGCTTCAGTGACAGGATCCAGTTCCTGCAGGGATCCTGGCTCTGGTGGCAGAGCTCACCCCATGTAGGAAGATAGACCCTGGGGACCCTAACACATGGAACTTGAGGGTAGTTTTTAATTTAGAGATACTTTCTCACGAAACTTGCATGATAGCATCTAATACTGAGGGAAAACATAAAAGAAATAAAATTGTTGACAATACCAATTGCAGCTCTCTTGTAGGATAGAGGGTGTCACAAAGACAAAATCGCTAGAAGTTGTGATGAATCTCCAAGAGCAGGTGGCAGTTTCACAAGTGAACTCCTCCAGACAAGATGATGCACAAACATTCTAATGAGAAAGTTCCACGATCTAAAGACATTGGAATCATGGGACCACAGTGCCTCTGGGTACAGGACCACCTGCCCTGTACCAAGTATTGTCTGTGACTCTCAGAGGGCCTATCCCAGTCCCATGGCCAGGCTCCTGAAAGATCACAGGGGGAGCCCAGGACAGGAGCCCAGGACAGAAGCCCAGCAGGGTGGGGTGAAGCGTTGTCTTGTAGTCAGGTCCCCAGGAGGTAACTCTGATCCTAGACCTGAAGTTAAAGGCTGCTGCTCTGCTCTGAGAGCTGGGGGTGGGGGCGGGAAGCTGGAGGGACCCTCTTCCTCCTCAGTCCCAAGTACCGACCTCACCACTGGTTTATCAAGTAGGAGTTCCATAAATAGAGGACATTTGCATAATTATGAACAGTTCACAGCCCCAAGGGCCTGGAAGGGAATAAGAGAGGCCAGGGTGGAGCCCAGCAGTGCTGTGGATCTCAGGAGGCAGAACTTTGGGCACACCTACCATGGCCTGGATGCCTCTCCTGCTCCCCATCCTCACTCTCTGCACAGGTGCTGACCCTGGGCCTGCCCACACACTTGACCCACTCAGAATGGAGCTGGGTCTCACCTGAACCCTGAGCTCAGACCGGTACAGGCTCAGTCTCGGGTCCCTGGGATGAGCCCCTGAACCTCACACCAACCTCTCCCCTCCTGTCTTTTCAGGCTCCGTGGCCTCCAGTGTGCTGACTCAGCCTCCCTCAGTGTCAGCGTCCCTGGGACAGACAGCGACCATCACCTGCTCTGGAGAGAGTCTGAGCAGATACTATGCACAATGGTATCAGCAGAAGCCAGGCCAAGCCCCCATGACAGTCATATATGGGGTCAGAGAGCGACCTTCAGGGATCCCTGACCGATTCTCCGGCTCCAGTTCAGAGAACACACACACCTTGACAATCAGTGGAGCCCAGGCCAAGGATGAGGCTGAGTATTACTGTGAGATATGGGACGCCAGTGCTGATGATCACAGTGACACAGGCAGACAGGGAAGTGAGACACAAACCCCTTCCCTGACTGTGTCACCTTCTTCTCTAGAACCAGGAGGACTGTGCACAGAATAGTGAACAGACCTGGCCCAGACCCCAAGATCTGAGGTTCCCAGACTGACCCCTCCTCTCACTCCTGCAGGCGGGCTCTGCACAACATGTATCAATGGAGGACACATTTATTATAACTATATTTAATCAGTGGCTATGAGCACATGAATTACCATATATGTTAGAAACAGATATAGATGATATTCCTCAAAGACCAAATCTTAAAAACTTTCCTGAATGAAAATCATATGTTCTGATCCTAAAAATACAAGATGAAATGGATAACAGATTCGATACTACAAATAAAGATATTAGGCACCTAGATGTCACAACAATAGAAACTTTTCATAATGAAACACAGAGAGAAACAACTAGAACAATTAAATACAGCCTCAGTGCAGGAAGGACACCTTCACTTCCCCTAAAGGTGGGTCTTCAGAGTAACTGAAGCAGAGAAGCTGGGGGATGGATAGTGTTTGAAAACATCTGAAGGAAAAAGAGCCAAAAGTTCTCAAATTCGGTGTCCATCGAAAGATGAATGGATAAAGAAGATGTGGTCTATGTATACAATGGAATATTCCTCAGCCATTAGAAACGACAAATACCCACCATTTGCTTCAACATGGATGGAACTGGAGGGTATTATGCTGAGTGAAGTAAGTCAATCGGAGAAGGACAAACATTGTATGTTCTCATTCATTTGGGGAATATGAATAATAGTGAAAGGGAATATAAGGGAAGGGAGAAGAAATGTGTGGGAAATATCAGAAAGGGACACAGAACATAAAGACTCCTAACTCTGGGAAACGAACTAGGGGTGGTGGAAGGGGAGGAGGGCGGGGGGTGGGGGTGAGTGGGTGACGGGCACTGAGGGGGACACTTGACGGGATGAGCACTGGGTGTTATTCTGTATGTTGGTAAATTGAACACCAATAAAAAATTAATTTATTAAAAATCTCAAATTTGGAGAAACCCATGAACAAATATATCTAAGAACCTTAATGAAGCTTAGGTGCAGGGAACAGAAGAGACAGCACAGCATGCATCATTATGAAAGTGCTACACACCAGCGATGCAGACACTCTCACAGACACAGAGGAGAGTCACGTTCCCTACAGAGAACTAGCATCTCAGTGGGAGCATATTTCTCTTCACAATCACTTAAGCAAGAAAAGAGTAAATCAGTATCTTCAAAATACTAAAGAAAATACCTGTCCACCTTGATGTCTACCCAGTGAAAATGTCCTTGAAAATTGAAACAAAGTAAAGCATTTTCTGTTGAAAACCTCACACAATGACCACCTGCAGACCCTCATTACAAAGAAGCCACTCATACAGAAGGACAGGCTGATAGAGAGATAAGTGAATCTACATAAAGCTACAAAAACAATCAAATGCAATAAGTACCTGGATAGATATAAAAGCATTTGTATTGGTCGATGTGTACAAAAGATAGTCAATTGCTTACATCAGAATCATTAACAATATGTTGTGACTTATGACGGACGTAAAAATAAAACATATGACAATGAGACCAAAGATGATGGGGGAGAGAAGATGATTATGACATCCCTATCCTACATGTGAAAGGGGTCATATCACAGAGAAGTACTTTGATCATTTAGGAGGTGAGGACTCAATCCTAAGGTAACCATTAAAATAAAACCTCTTTCCAACAAACTGTTCCACCTAATGAGGTCCATCAGTTGATGGACCAGAGAGTACAGATGCAGAAGGAAAGGTATCTCATATCTATCAGTAGATATGTGTAAGTATATGTGATATACAGGGAGAGAGAGAGAGACATATGTTGACAAATGGCTCAGGCCACCATACAGTGACAGGGCTGGAAGCTGCAGGGCAGGACAGAAAGCTGGAGATTCCAGTAAAAACCATGATGCAGTCTTTGGTCCAAATTTAGTCTGAATGATGGAACACATTAGCAGGAGAAGAAAATTAAAGGATCCCACTGAAACTCCTAGAGATGAAATCTGCATGTCTCAGATCATAGATACCAGAGTTGAGATGAGGAGCTAACACGACAATATGAAGAACACATGAAGGAACCTGAAGACACGGCACAGACACTGCAAAGTGAAAAAAAAAAAAAAACACTCTCAAGAGCGAACAGAGAGCATCACTGAGCCTGGGCCACCTCGGGCAAGGTAAGAACATGTGACTGTGTCCCCAGAGGAGAGGCAGGTAGATCAAGAAGTATTTAATGAAATGTTGCTCAGAATTACACTCAGTTTCATGAAAACCTAAAATCCATGGATCCAGAAAGTTCAAAACCTCAAGCAGAAGAAATATAGTTTTTAAAAACCAAACCCAACCTGTCACTATCAAATTGTCTAAGGAAGATGAAAAGAATCAGTATTAAAAGAAACCAGAAGGAAAAAATACACTATGTTCAGAAGAACAGACAGAAGGATTCCAGTAGATTTCTCATTAGCAGAAATATAGAGAAATCATGGATTAGCATGTTTTAAACACTGAAAAAAGAAAAAAGAACTTTGTTCCTGACCCAAGGAATATATCCTTCAAAAATAAAATAAAATTTTATCAGAAAAAAGGTGACAGAGATGATCATCAGCTGACCCATAACATAAGAAATTACAACACCCATCCCTGAGGCAGGAGGAAGTGATTCCAGAATGAATTGAATATACAAAATGGAAGAAAGAAACCCAAAGATCACCCACTGGGATAAGACTAACAATCTTGCTTATTCAAATCTGTTTCAAGGTAAGTCAGTGTCTAAAGCAAATCTAGGGGAAAGGACAAGATGGCAGAAGAGTAGGGTCCCCAAGTCACCTGTCCCCACCAAATTACCTAGATAACTTTCAAATCATCCTGAAAACCTACACATTCGGCTTGAGATTTAAAGAGAGAACAGCTAGAATGCTACAGTGAGAAGAGTTCGTGCTTCTATCAAGTACAACTTGTTTTTGGCCTCTCTACACTGAGCAAAATGACTAGAAGGAAAAAGTCACCTCAAAAGAATCAGAAACAGTCCTCTCTCCCACAGGGTCACAAAATTTGGATTACAATTCAATGTCAGAAAGCCAATTCAGAAACACTATTATAAAGCTACTGGTGACTCTAGAAAAAAAGCAAAAGGGTTCAAGAGACTTCATGACTGCAGAATTTAGATCTAATAAGGCAGAAATAAAAATCAATTAAATGAGATGCAATCCAAACTGGAGGTCCTAATGACAAGGGTTAACAATGTAGAAGAACCAGTGAGTGACATAGAAGACAAGTTGATGACAAGGAGGGAAACTGAGGAAAAAAAGAGAAAAACAAAAGATCATGAGGATAGGTTAAGGGAAATAAATGACAGCCTCAGAAGGAAAAATATATGTTTAATTTGGGTTCCAGAGGGCGCTGAAAGGGACAGAGGTCCAGAATATGTATTTGAACAAGTCATAGCTGAGAACTTCCCTAATTTGGGGAGGGAAACAGGCATTCAGATCCAAGAGATAGAGAGATCCCCTCCAGAAGTCAGTAAAAATCGCTCAACACCTCGACATTTAATAGTGAAGCTTGCAAATTCCAAAGATAAAGAGAAGATCCTTAAAGCAGCAAGAGACAAGAAATCCCTAACTTTTATGGGGAGAAGCATCAGGATAACAGCAGACCTCTCACAGAGACCTGGCAGGCCAGAAAGGGCTGACAGGATATATTCAGGGTCCTAAATGAGAAGAACATGCAGCCAAGAATACTTTATCCAGCAAGGCTCTCATTCAAAATGGAAGGAGAGATAAAGAGCTTCCAAGACAGGCAGGAACTGAAAGAATATGTGACCACCAAATCAGTTCTCCAATAAATATTAAGGGGAACTCTGTAAAAGAAAGGGAAAGTCCAATGGAACAATCCACAAAAACAGGGAATAAATAGGTATCATGATGACACTAAATTCATATCTTCGGGATCCCTGGGTGGCGCAGGGTTTGGTGCCTGCCTTTGGCCCGAGGTGCGATCCTGGAGACCCGGGATCGAATCCCACGTTGGTCTCCCTGCATGGAGCCTGCTTCTCCCTCTGCCTGTGTCTCTGCCTCTCTGTCTCTCTCTGTGTGACTATCATGAGTAAATAAATAAAATCTTTAAAATAAATTTAAAAAATGCATAAATGCATATCTTCAATAGTAACTCTGAACGTGAATGGGCTTAATGATACCATCAAAAGGCGCAGGGTGTCAGAATGAATAAAAAAGCAGGACCCATCTATTTGCTGTCTATAAGAGACTCATTTTAGACATAAAGACACCTACAGACTGAAAATAAAAGGTTGGAGAACCATGAACCATTCAAATGGTCCTAAAAAGAAAGCAGGGGTGGCCACCCTTATATCAGATAAACTAAAGTTTATCCCGAAGACTGTAATGAGAGATGAAGAGGGACACTATATCATACTTAAAGGATCTATCCAACAAGAGGACTTAACAATCATCAATATATATGCCCTGAATGTAGGAGCTGCCAAGTATATCAAGCAATTAATAACGAAAGTTAAGACATACTTAGATAATAATACACTTATACTTGGTGACTTGAATGTAGCGCTTTCTAAAATCGACAGGTTTTGTAAGCACAAGATCTCCAAAGAAACAAGAGCTTTAATAAGTTCTTTATAGACCTTGGATACTAGCCCTTTATCTGATACATCATTTGCAAATATCTTTTCCCATTCTGTAGGTTGTCTTTTAGTCTTGTTCACTATATCCTTTGCTGTGAAAAAGCTTCTTAACTTGATGAAGTCCCAATAGTTCATTTTTACGTTTGTTTCTCTTGCCTTCATGAGAACTTATTCAACTCAACAGCAAAGAAACAAACAATCCAATCATGAAATGGGCAAAAGACATGAACAGAAATCTCACAGAGGAAGACATAGACATGGCCAACATGCACATGAGAAAATGCTCTGCATCACTTGCCATCAGGGAAATACAAATCAAAACCACAATGAGATACCACCTCACACCAGTGAGAATGGGGAAAATTAACAAGGCAGGAAACCACAA